AAATATCAATTTGCTCACTATTTATGTGTTAAAAATTACAAACGACGATGATGTACAAGGATCAAGGTTTCAAGGATCAATTTTCATTTCGCGTCTTCCATCTAGTACAACTTTACTGCACGTATCGATACGAAACTTTCATCACTCAAACACGTGTACTTTCAAAACAAATTGCTGTCAAAACATTCCAAATCCGAGCATTAGAGGCGCAGCTATAAAATAAATAAAATATCTGGATTCTTAGTGGACCAGACTTTAGTCTAAAGGTCGAAAGAAAGCTAGGAGGATAAACAGTCCCATGGACAAAACGGCCAACAAGTCGAAATAGACGATTGTTCGAATAAATAAAAAGTAAAATGAAATGGTCGATGGACCCAAGGTCGAATGAATGCTTGGAGCACAAAAGGACGAATTAAAGTAAGGAGGGCATAAAAAGGTTAAAAGTCGATAATCAAATGCTGAATTAATGTTAGTAAGACAAAAAGATGATGTGTCATTAGGCCGAATGCTACCAGGCCGAACGCCATTAGGCCGAAATTCTAATATTGTTCCAAATTAAGAATATAATGAGCAGCTAATGAAGTAGACAGAATAATGTCCATTCAATAGGTATTAAAGCAGTTAGTTTAGTTTAGTTTTTTTTTATAATGAGTTCGTTTATTTACTAGGCTCAGTCGTGTGCGACACTTTGCAAAGCCAAAAATCAGTAATGTTTGAATTTTCATTTTAAACAGCAGTAAATCTAGGTTAGTATTGGGTACCAATTACTTGTGGTGGGCTCAAAGTAACAATTTCGATTAGAGCGATCTAGGTAGGGAACTGGTTTCCAAAGCCTCCTTCAGAAACTACTCTCGGACGGTTGACCAAATGCTGGCTCTGCTAGAGAGTCCGCCTTATCATTGCCTGGAACTGAGTAATGCTAGGAGGGACCCATACAGAGGTAATTCTAAATGGTCGTTGGTGGAAAGCAACCAACACATCTGCTCCCTTCACTTTGTAAGGAAGTAAGATGGATGCCTCTCTGGTTTCGTCGACCGGAGGGCTACAATAGAACTGAGGCTATCCGAGAAGATTAAGTCATGGTCTATGGGCATGCCGGAAATTATCCTCAATGCGAAGTTTAGTTTAGTTTACTTTTCTTTATTATCGACCCAAAACAGCTCATGTTTCAAAGAAAAAAAAATGTGCAATGACAAATATTCAACTAGACATATCAGCAGATACAAATATTAAAACTCGAAAGCACTGTTCATAATTAAAAGAAAGAAAAATCAGCTATAAAGTCATTGTCTAAAAATACCTTAGCAAAAAATATGCCTGCGTGCGAGATTTCGAAAATCTTTTCAACTGACAGTTCGCCTTTAATCTTAATATTCAGCCATTCCATAGCAAAACGATATAGTGGTTCTCAGAATTTCATAAAAATTGGTAGTTTTGTTCCTTATCGCATAATATTAGACCCCCAAATTTGTCATTAGGGTGACCATTTTTTTCTTCAAAAATGACTACATTGACTGAAACATGGTCACGTCGCATGGAGTATTGAGCGAAAACCCAAAACTCGATTACAACCGAAACATAACTCAAAAACGAAAAGAACACATCGCTGATTTTTCGATATGTTGTGTGGTTCGCGAAAGCGACCCAACAGGAACAAGAAGAAGAGGCGCGCAGCGGGCAAGGTGGATCGACCAAGTAGAAGGCGACCTGCGAATCCTTCGCAGACTACGAGGCTGGCGACGTGTGGCCATGGATCGAGAAGAGTGGAGACGACTTCTTCGGACAGCAGAGGACAACAAGGCCTTAACCTAAATGAATGTGTCAAAGAATTTTAAAATTATGTCGGAAAGCACTAATTCCCTTCAAATAAGTTTTGAACCAGTTCGAAAAGTACAGAAACACTACAAAAAGTTCTGAATAACTTTGGGAAAGTTCTAAATCACTTCGGAAAGTACTGAATCACTTTAGGAAGTTCTGAATCACTTCGGAAAGTACTGAATCATTTCAGGATGGTTTGGAATAACTTTATAAAGTACTGAAGCACTTTAGAAATGTTTTCAACCATTTCGGAGAGCACTGATTCACTTCGGAAGAGTTTTGAATCACTTCGGAAAATATTGAATCGATTCAGCAAAGTTTAGAATCACTTCTGAAAGTACTGAAACACTTCGGAAAAGATTGGAATCACTTTAGATTTTTCTGAAGAGTTTGAAATCACTTTCACAAAGTATTGATTCACTTCGAACAGAAATGAATCACTCAAGAAAAGTTTAGAATCACTTCTGAAAGTACTGATTCACTTCGAATAGAAATGAATCACTTAAGAAAAGTTTGGAAACACTTTGGAAAGTACTGAATCACTTCAGACAAGTTCGGAAATTCAATCGGAAAGTACTGAATTACATTAGAAATTTTGGAATCACTTTGGAAAGTATTGAATCTTTCAAAAAAAAAAGTTTTGTTATCACTTCCGCAAGTACTGCATCACTTTGGAAAGAACTTAATCATTTAAGAAGAGTTTGGAATTACTTCTGAAAGAACTGGATAACTGCAGGAAAGTTCGAAATCACTTCTGCAAGTACTAAATCACTTCAGAAAGTACTGAATCACGTCAGAAAAGTTTGGAAACATATCAGAAAGTCCTGCATCCCTTCAGAAAAAAAAAATCGGAAATATTTCGAAAAGTACTGAATCACGTCAAACAAGTTTGGAATCACTTCAGAAAGTACTGAATCACTGAAGAAAAGTTCAGAATCACTTCGGGACGCACTGAATTGCTTTAGAAGCTTTTAAATCGCTTCGAATCACTTCATTAAAGTTTATTATCACTTCCGCAAGTACTGAATCATTTCGGAAATAACTGAATCATTTAAGACAAGTTTGGAATTACTTCAGATAGTACTAAATAATTTAAGAAAAGCTCGGAATCACTTCGGAAAGTACTGAATCACGTCCGTAAAGTCAGCGGCGTCGGTGGTATAGTGGTAAGCGTGATTGCCTCTCATCTCAGCAGGCGTGGGTTCAATCCCAGCCGGTACCGCCGGGATGTTCTGAGGCATAACATCTCTGATCACGCCTTCCTTCGGATGGGAAGTAAAGCCGTTGGTCCCCGGTTCATGAGTTGATGGGTCGATAGGTAGGGTCCAGGTGTGGGAGCTGCCTTCCTGGCACGTCGGTAGCATAGGTGCTCAGCACGGAAAACAAGATCGACGGAAAACAAATCATGGGAAAAAAAACGTCCATTAAGTTCGTGACTACTTTTCCGGAGCTGATACTGATTCAATTAATAAAAGTTTGAAATCACTACCACAAGTACTGAATCACTTCGGAAAGTATTGAATCGATTCAGCACTTCTGCAAGTACTGAATCTTTTTAGAAAGTTCACTTGACAAAGTACTGAACCACTTCGGAAACGATTGGAATTACTCCAGAATTTACTGAAGAGTTTGAAATCACTTCCGCAAGTACTGATCCACTTCGAATAGTATTGAATTACTTAAGAACAGTGTGGAATCACTTCAAACAAGTTCGAAAACTCGATCACTTCGTAAGGTACTTCAGATAATTTCGTAACAACTCAACAACGTAACAAAGTACTTAATCAATTCGTAAAGGTTTGAAATCACTTGTGCAAGTACTGAGTCACTTCATAAAGTCCTGAATCTCTTAATAAAAAACGGAAACACTTCTAAAAGTACCGAATCGCTTCATACAAGTTTGGAATCACTTCAGAAAGTACTGAATCCCTTCATAGAATTCTGGAAACAGTACTGAATTACTTAAGAAATTTTGGAATCACTTTGGCTCATTACAAAAAAATAGAGTTTGTTATCACTTCCGGAAGTACTGAATCATTCAGGAAAGAACTGAATCATCAAAGAAAAGTTTGGAATCACTTCAAATAGTGCTGAATAATTTCAGAAAAGTTCGGAATCACTTTGACAAATACTGAATCACGTCAGTAAAGTTCATCACTACTCCGGAAAGTACTGATTCAATTAATAAACATGAAATCTTTTCCATAAGTACTGAATCACTTCAGATTTTTTTTTTAATAATTTCAGAAAGTTCGGATTCAATTAAACATGAACACCCGCCACGTAATGACATAATTCCAAAATAATTCCCATCTTCAGAATGCCTTTGGTCTTCTGAACTACTTTGGTGCAGACTCGAACTTCCTAGATGGTTGGGATCACGATGATAATCAGGATTTCGAGATATATACAACTGTTTTTAGGTTACGCAATATTCAAATCAGTGTTGCATTGTTGCAATGACTTGAGCAAAATAATTGCATGGAGCCGTTAAAGTGAACAAGCATCTCGGTCCTGAACTGCTTGGATAACAATAATGTGACTCACACTCACATGCATGAAATTACACTTTCTGTTACTAGGTTAATCTTTGTCATTAACGAAAAAATGAATGCGATCTTGACAAAGGTTATTTTGAAAATCACATAGTGAAACACAATTTCGTCAATATCGCGCGAAAGTCTGTCAATGACAATGACAAATCTCAGCACTGACTGGTGCCAAGTACAATCATATTATATGCCCAGGGAAGTCGAGAAATTTTCCAACCCGAAAAATTCGTAGATCTGACCGGGAATCGAATCTCGCCACCTTCAGAATGGTTTTGCTTTGTAGATGCGCCTTTACCGACTGAGCTTAAGGAGGCCATTAAACATTCCTCCTAATATCCGAATTCCACTGCAAAATTACTCACTTAGATTCGATGATCGTTTATTTTTGATTAACTGCTGCTTAATTTGAATCACCTCAGGCTTTCCAATGTTACCTAATTTCTTTTTTAAGAATTCGAGATACCGATGGTAATGAAAATTTTCAATTGGTTTTCGCATTTCATCTATCTACATGTATCTTCCCTGCAATCTAAATTCTCAACTTCGCACTCTATAAAAAAAATACCAAGAAAAAGGTTCTTCAACCTGCCCCCACCCCTCGCAAAAAGAAAAATTCCCGAAAATTAATCCACCGAACTAACTTACATGGATCTTAGACACCACCATCGCTTTCTCTTCCCAACTCACTTGCTCACGAATCCTCTTACCTGAAATAGAAGAGAAAGAAAAAAATACTACATTAAGTTGGGAACTAAATCAAATAAACCATAAAATCCCTTCGCCCGCCTCTTTCGGTTTTTTTCTTCTTCTGGATTTTCTCCGCAAAAGAAAAGCACAACAAGCGAAAAACCACAGCGCCAAGAAGGATGTCTGCAAACTTTTGCCACTAAATTTGTGCACCGCCCCCCCCCCCCCCGTTTTCCACCGAATTTGTACCCCAAATCTTACGCCAGTCACCGGAATGACTGATGTTGAATCTTTCAGCAGTCAATTCTTCCCAATTAGAAGCAGTGGCAGAAAGGGACGACTTCTTTCCTCGGTGTCTTCCGAGAATTGACGGTGGGAAAATCCTGTGATCCAGTTTCTAATTGGCTGATTTATGGCGTAGTCAATCGGGTGATTTGCTATTCTTTTTGAAACTCCATTTTCCTTGATTTTCAGGGTGGGAAATCTGCAGCTGGGTATTTTTTTGGTGTTGTCGGGAAAATTGGAACCAATCAGGATAATTCATCCGATTTATCGGGGGAAAAATGTTGACCCTTGATCTTTTTTTTTTCAACGCAAAGCCAAAGCTTTTGATGATTGCGCCAAGCTCGCTGTGTCAATTGTGGAACAATTAATTCATGCCAATCTCCGCCCAAGCATTGAGTACCGCAAAGGTAGGCAGTTAGGCTTAGGTGGGTGCAACCTTTCAACCTGATATTCATCGATTTGCGAGGAGCTGGTGTAAACAATTGTCTGTGGGAAGTTTAGAAAATAAATCTATTTGGTTAATAGACCAATTTATCAAGTCAAATATTGAAACATGTCGCTCAGAATTAGTTACCCGGTTTGATTTTGTGACGAATTCCATGTTTTCCATGAACCATCTATCATTTTCCCCCGCTAATACGCACCGTTTCACTTCAACACTTCAATTGCATTCGAATCGCCAATTGATTGTACCGTACTGCAATAAGAGTGTAGGTACTGACTCGGGACCCGCACAAGTGTGTAAACGCTCTCTAGAGGAGTACGAATTATTACATAACTGCTCTGTCGCCGGTCGTCCCAGTCACCGACCGCCACCATCACCACCGCGCCATAAGGTTTGCGTTGGGACACCTAGAAGACCAGTCAGTGGTTGGAACTTTTGTGCGTTGTTTTTTTTTTTTGTTGTGGTTACATCGTGAGCTGAACGAAACCTGCGCTGCACCTTCTGCAGAGGCAGGATCGCCGTAACTTCTCTTGAAGTGCTCTCGGCGGCGCGCGGGTACCAACATCAAGTTTGTCGGCGGCAAAAGTGCAAAAGAATGTGCGTGATTTCCGTGAGTTGCAACTTTTTCTCCTCCTGGTGGTGGGTAGTGTGTGCAGAAACAAGGTTTTTGCTGTTTTTGTTTCATTGAACAGCACTTCTCCACTGCTGTCGGGCTGTGGAAAATGGATTTTAGAACGCACGGGTGGTGGCGGCAAAAAGCAAAAAGGCAAAGACATCACAAGTTGAAAGGGTCCATTTTTTTTTCTTCTATTGGTGACTTGGGTTGTAACAACACTCTTTTGATTATGTCATGGGATTTGTGCCGCCCAGGGGTTAGAAGGGGAGTGAGTGGTTTGATCTACAAAGTCGCACGTGGTGATTGCGTTATGAATAAGTGGTTGATTGGGTGGACGTTTGCAACAGGGGATCTCAAATTTTACATCAACATATGGGAAATTTTGGTTTTGTCCTCTAGCTCTGAGGTCCTGTCGTAAACGATTCTAGTGGGTGAGTTCGGTGATAGTTGAGCCACTGGTTGTGCAAAATGGATCGGGCGATCATTTCAAATTTGTTTGTTAGAGAATTGAGTTCAACAAGATAAAGATTATTGGTGATCAATCTAAAAAAAACGTTCCAAGTTCATTATGTGGATTGAGACGATCTCATGGGATTGTTCGTACTAGAGACAGAATCAGAGTGGCGTTTTCAGGGAGGATGGATCGATATGGCCACTTTTGATTTTTTGGTTGGTTGGTTGGTTGTCTTTATTAAGGAGATTTTCAGCCAGACGCTGGTTCATCTCCGGGGCACTTTTGATTTTTTGATTGTGTATTGATCAGGACAATGTGTTCGAAATTCGATTGCAACTGCTGAAATTTAGATTCCCTGAACTATACCAGAACGTCTTCTTATATTTTAGCCTTAATGCAGAGTGAAATGGTCTTCTGAATAATGACGTTCCGATGTATCATGACGATATAGCATACTCACTGGAAATCCAAATAATATCAGCAGTGTGGTTTCAAAAAATATAACCATCCACTGCGATTTGTTATGCTAGAATATGGATAGGAACAACCTTCAAAATCGCTAGGTACCAACATCTAAATTAGGTTAAATAAGGGACTGCCCGCGATGCTTGGGATCTCACGGATTAAGATGTAATTATAAATGGCAATTGAATACTTCTGCCAGAATTTTGATCTTTCGTAATAGAAAAGAATGTTTTGCGATGTTAAGTAAATATGGATGTTTTTTCTGAATAATGACGTGGTTCAAGCATCTAAGTCCGTTCTGCTCTACTTCTGGAGATCGCAGTTCCAGCAGCAGTTTGATAACCAATTTCAGAACGAAAATATCTGGATGTGATATCGAATCGCAGAGAAGCCAAACACGTATGTTTTGGTATATGGTCTTCGCAAAAGTAAAGCTTTATTCTCAGCTCTCTAGGTACATCGAATTCTACTCCAACGTGTGCGTGTACCGAATAGCAAACTTTATAAAAGTATATAGCATGTATTATATACAGTGCTGCAAAATTTCGACAATACACGGTGATACGCAAAATTCTGCTTTGGTCACTCGTTTGAGCTAACAGTCATCGTCAAGGCAAACCATGTCAATTGTCAGTACCATTTTTGTCAGTGACGAACATGTGCTGATTTGTTTATTAGCTAAATTTGAAATGAAATTAAATGGCTTGAGCAAAACAATTACATGGAGCCATTAAAGTGAATAAGCATCTACGTCCTGAACCGCTTGGATAACAATAATGTGTCTCAGAATGCATGAAATTACACTTTCTGTTACCAGGTGAATCTTTGTCATTGACGAAAAAATGAATGAGATTTTGATTTTTTTGAGGATCAATTCTATCATTGACTATGTGAAAAACAATTTTGTCAATATCGTGCAAAAGTCTGTCAATGACAATGACAAATCTCAGCACTGATTATATATACTGATTGCTGAATGCCCTGTGGTATATTTCACTCTGTGATCTTACGCGTTTCATCGACTCTACACTTCCTCACTTTGTTAACAGTCTAGAACCCTAGATAGCTTAGAATCCTGCAAATAACTGGGACGCTTTACATCACGCTTAGGTCGCTGCTTTTCCATGGCGGATCCCGGGTTTAGAATCCTTTTCCTGCTGTTTTTGGGCTTCTGGCAGTAGATGGTTATCAACGTTTTGCACTATTGGTTTAAGGTGTGATACGTTACGATGAATTATTTTCCCAGTCTCTGATGATTTCAGCAAAAAATCCGATCCATGCCGGTCCACGATCACGAATTCGTCAGGTTCAAAATTACTGGCTAGTTTGTTTTCTTCAATCGTCAGTTTTGCAACCACTACATCACCCTCTTTCAAGTAGTTTGGGTCTGCACGGCGACGCTTGTCTGCCTAGTCTCCCTGTTTTACCTTCCGTTCATGATCCTGTTTCCGTGTTTCCTCTTTTGACTTCAACCCAATGCTTGGAAGTGATGGCAACTTAGTCCGCAATACTCTCCCGAACATCAGAGCCGATGGTGCAACTCCTGTGGTTGAATGGGGAGTCGAATTGTACATTTTCATTTTCATTTTGCAGCGTTTGGTGGGGCAATGGGAGCGCAAGTCAATCCAAAGCCGAGGATAAAGGACGGGTAATGGCTGAATAGTCTATGCGGACCACTTGAACGCCATGGGAAAAGGAAGGGATTTAAGGGGCCGGTTATTGGGGGTTTTGAGGAAATGACACATAGTGATGCTAAACGTAAAGAAACCGAAAATCCATCTCCCACTGATTCATCCTTTCACATTGATATTTTAAAGCAATAATCAAAATAAACAGACAATACATGAAAAGGCTAGTTGCCAGTTGCTTTAAAGACTAGTTGCCTCCCTAAGCGGACCCTCCGCATCCTAAATCTTCTGTTAATCCACTTAATGCTACTAGGCTGTCTAAATTTTCTTATTTAAGTTCGTTTGATGATTATGATATCTCTAGTCTAATTTAATAAATAATTGAAATCTCTAATCTACCTACCATGCTTTATTAAGTACCTGCACTTGTGAATGTAATCTAAAATTTAACGTGTTTCAAGTTGTTTTTGACTTTGACCTATATTTAATATATATTAGTTTGTCCCAGGTGACACCTTCAAGTGACTAAAATGCTTCACTTTGAAGTTAGTTTCCTAGCTGATTTTTAAATTACATAGGGTATATGCTTCAACTACGCTCACACGTTTACACTATGTCGCACCACAAAAATACATATGGGTATGTCACAAAAGAAGCACGCCACAGTGGAAATCCCGAGCCATAGTTCAAACACTTATCCCAAATCAAAATGAAGCACATATAAGATTAGTTGCAATACCATGTACAAAAATGGTGTTAAACATTGTTCCCTGAGTAATACCTCAATGAAAACAACAACGAAAGCTTGTCACGCAAGTAGAAGGAGCACTGTTGGGCACTTTCTGAAATATTTCAATAGTATAATTCCCTTGCAAACCCAAATAAATCTATCTGCGTAAAAATAAATAAAATAAGAGTGATTTGCGGCAAAACCCGCCATTATCGCACCCAACGTCAGTGCCTATACGTAAGCGTACTACAACGCGGCTTTCAAATAAAGGAGTAACAAGTGTGATACTATCACTTCAGGCTAGAACTTTGGTTCTCTTATGCAATGGTTCATCAGAGAGGGGAAGCTCATCGCATGCTCATGACGCTATTCTGTCACGGCATGAGCCAACGATGCCGGACCTAAACCAACCGTCTCTAACGCTCCACTATTAAGCATAAGATTAGGCGCGCCCACCAACGTCCAGGTTAAAAAACTAGCCAAGGGGAGGGAATTGTACATAAGGAGAATGGGGAGTCGAATTGTACATAAGGAGATACATTCTCAGATCCCATTTCCAATTAAAATCTGGATTTTCTTGGCTGATTAGCAACCGTTTCTTCAAGGCTCTGTTTGCTCTCCCTACTTCCCCATTAGCTTGAAGCCAATATGGAGTCAATTTCAGCAAATTCCAAAATCCTTACAGAATTGTGCCAAGGCGTCGCTTACGAAGTGTGGACTATTATCCGACTTCAGTGAATTCGGAATGCCATACCTACATAATGCTTCATGCAATGCTTGCACAGTAAGTTTTGCCGTTGTCTCCCGCATCACTACTACTCGAGTAGTTTCATAGTTTGAGAATAGGTTAAGATCATTTCGAACCTTAGGCCTCTAATCATTCGCTTTACCAGATAAGAATAGAGTTCGAAACGATGCGTGCTTCAGCTATCCTGAGGAAATCTTCGGAGGGAACCAGCTACTAGATGGTTCGATTGGTCTTTTGCCCCTATGCCCAATTCTGACAATCGATTTGCACGTCAGAACTGCTGCGGTCCTCCATCAGGGTTTCCCCTGACTTCAACCTGATCAGACATAGTTCACCATCTTTCGCGTCACATCCTGCACACTCACGGTATGTTGTGGCACGGTAGGGCCCCGGAGGGCCTCACCGCATGCCTGGTACAACACCCGGGGATGGAGCCATTGCAATGGCTCAGGACGTTCCATTGATGAATCCTTACAACGCTTCACAAATGCTTCGTCTTCCTTATCCTGCGCTGGCCACCACACTTTTTGAATTCAATTAATAAAATACGGAATGTCGATCAGGTATTCATCGACTGTCTTTGCTTTCGACACTTGCAAAACAAGCTATCAAGGTCATACTTTGTCATACGACATGTCTCCGAAAACCGTCACGTATTTATGTGTCCACTAATGCTTAGCTCGAGAAGAGAATCAAGATAACCCCTTAAGATGTTGTTATAAAAGCCCATTCTGCACGACCACCTGAATTCAGGCTACCAAATGAGAACAATAGGAGTTTAAGATTTCTCTATTTCCTGTGATCGTCCTTGGCAGACATCAATGCCACACTGTCTAAGTATTTGGTTCAAATCCAAAGGTCGTCCCGTTTTACCTTTGGTTACTAAACAACAACCTTTTGAGAACTCTTAAATGCATCGGGACGACTATTATATTTGAAGGTTTTATGTGGTTGATACACACTTAGAAATTATCACCGACTTCGGTAATTTTTACCGAAATCTGAACTGCTGAACTGTTCGGTAAAATTTAAGCAATTCAATTCAATTGTTTTTCAGCTACTTTGAAACTAAATCTTCACTACAATGACATGATTTGATCATTTAAACAAGGTTGAACATGTTTTGAAACTATTTTCAAATTCAATAGCCTTTAAAATGAAGGTCAATGTTTTACCGAACGTTCAGCTGTTTTGATTTCGGTAAAATTTACCGAACACGAAAAGAAAATCTTAGAGTGTAGGGACGATTCAAAGCTCAGCTCTCCAAACAGACATGGTTCGTTACTTGAGACATTGAGATAAGAATTTAATATGGATCACAGGACATAAGATCACTTAACACGGAAGCAGAAGATGGATTCAAATGACTTCTTAAAAAAATGTTATGATATAGATCTTCATCCGTATTTGATAAACTCCAGTTAATCTGAAATGCATGTGATTACGCTATCTGCTATTTTTTAAAAGTAATTTGAAAATGTGGAGGGTCAGAAAAAAATCACCAGGTCTTGGTGATCCGAGAAGCTCACATACAAAGGATTGAGAGGACCACTTTGTGATCGCAGGAAGTTATTTATCAGAATGTTTATAGGTTTTACTTCAAAATGTGTATCGTGACAACGACTTTCGATTTTAATTTATAGTCGTCCTGATGAATTTGTTTTATTGGCCTACCAAGCAAAGCAAAATAACCCATGAAATGGTTCGGGAGGACTACAAGGTATAAGATCACCAAGAGAATAACGAAAAGCTCGGGACGACCACCTGATCGCTATTTTCTCGAAGCTCTAGAAGAAAAAATCCCAAAATATTGCTCCATGCTAAAGTTCGAGTGGTAGGAATTGTAATTTTAAACTGCTCTAACGATTTGAAGTTAGGCTGAGATGTACTTTGATATTAACTTTTCTACCTAACATGGAAAGCTTAAGGTGATACGGCACGTCATGCAACAATGGCTGTCCCTACAATCATTAAATAAACGTGTTTTGGTATGCGTACGAAAGACATCTTCCTACAAAACAGTAAATTACTAATTACATACCTTAAAAAAATGGGTCTGCATTGTATGAATAAGATCTGGATACATATTTCAATACTTTTCCACTAAACTATTGCCGATTTTGTTCTGCTCAGGGCATGAAATTTCAATAACTGTTTTCACTAGCTTGCACTTCTCAGAACCACACTAAAAACAATTACGACACGTGCTTCTACAAGCACTTTCAAGTTAATTCACTTTTAAAAACGACATTTACTCAAATAATATCATTTGCATCGTTAAAAACGCGAGCCACGAATAATTTTGCAAACTGAAACTATTTTGTTTACCTTTTTTCTACACACCGCATTACGAAGGTGTGTGTAAGAATCATCTATCATCGTATCCAGTGTTGTCGATTTAATTGAAACAAAGTGTGTAAAAACAATGCTTTTATTGCTTTTTAAGGTGCTTAAACCGTGTTCAATTTAGAAACCATCCCTAATAAATGTTTAAAACAATTTCTTATTTTGTTCCTCAAGCCAAAAAATGAAAGTAAATGAACCTAGAAATTTTCTATAGAAAACATAGGTGTCGTTCTGGTTGGACTGCTCGAAGCCATCAGCTGAAATGCAAAAGACGGCAAAAGGATGATTCAAAAACAAAAACATACACGATAAGAAAAAATATCGGCAGCCAGTTCATTTTTGCCTAATTTAAACTTTGAGTATAATTATTCACCAACTTTTGGGTACAACTAACTATTTTTTGGGTGAAAGCGAATTGTCAATTCCACACTAATTGAACACAATCAAATGAAAACTCTTCGACCCACATTACCTACTTTTGGCTTCCTGCAATATAGTGCCGAGATTTGTGAAAATGAGTCACTTTGGGACCTCTTTTCTTACCGTGTACCTGGAGGTTTGAGCTCTGGAATCACTTTTGGACAGGTCGTATGTAACAAAAGTGTACAAAGTGTGATGTTGAATCAATTATTACTATGATGACTTGACACTTGGTGGCTAGGCGCATAATTATTTTCTGTATAGGAAGGGGTGTCTTGGGAGGTGGTGGGTCGATAATATTGGCAAATTGAATATAAATGTAGTGATAGTCTCAATATTGGATGATAAAGAGATATCCTTATCTTTTTAAAAATGACGAAGGTTGAAATTTACAGTAAGATGGACATAACTATTTCTTTACCCTTCTTATTTTTTTTAACAACTGTTACACATTCGACCTAATAATAACGAACTCTAGCAGCTATGTTTACGGCAGTTGCGGTAGTGCATAAAGTACACTCACACCACTACAGCATCAATGATAATCAATTCACTGACACATAGAAAGGAGAGAGAAAAAAAAGGAAAAAAGCGTGACGTATCGTATCACCTTAATACGCCGTTTTTAGCTGAATAATCATATCGTTTTGACTGCCTAAACTTAAAACCACCAGAACTAAGTTAATCGGCGAAAAATGTTTTGAAACAATTTATTTTTTTGTGTTAAATTGCATGAACAAATTTGAAAAACATCTATCTGGAAAGTGCAATTTGAATTTTTCCCTATTTGTTATAATTTATCTAATTCAATTACAATAATTAAAATCATTATTTCATAGTCGATTATAAAAATGCTTTAAATGTACTCAAATACGACGTTCTAGATTCTGAAAAAATGTATGCAATTTTTTTTTTAATTGTCAAGAAAATAGCAAACCAGAAGGAACACTTGCATCTGCTACAATGTTTCAAAGGCTTCAATCTTTCATTTTGGTTAATTAATGTGCTGGAAAAAAGCCCGGAAAGTGACTCGTTAATTTGACGTTACATATTTTTGGGTTCTATTTTCATTGCCATTTTCCGTGTTTTCTGTATTTACCTGGAAGTTCTTGAAAACATTAGTTTTAGTAAATCCTATGCCGGTAAAGTAGATCGGGACGACAATGAAGGTAAGCCTTCTATATTTCTTTATAGTGAACGACCAGCTACAATTTTATTTTATGATTATATTCGTAAACAAAGCTTGCTCTCAACTCTCACATCACTTGCACGGCGTAAGCGAAATCAGGTTCCTGAAGAACAGGTTAAACAGCTCTAGATAAATCAGCGCCCCACATTCACGAATGTTCCGGTCGAAGCAGTCTCTCATTTCGTGAATTTCACTGAAAAATTCAAATCAAAATCATGTGACAAAAGAAACACGGATTCAAGCCGTCCCTTACTTGCACTCATTGACGGTGTAGCCCTTCCGGTTCATCCTCATCGTACTGTTGCTGATGACACCTATGCAATCGGCGATGCCCGGTGCAAGTTCGACGGCGCACGATCGATACAGAGGTTCACGCAGTTCTTGAAACAGAGATCAACACAATGATTCCCGAGGGTCGAAATTTCGCAAAACCCAAAAACCAACCTGACAACATCGCTCCACTGTTGTTGCAGAGCACTTTCAGCGCCTCCGGAACGGTGTTCACAATCTTTGTCAGCATCTGTATGTCATCCTCGTCCTTTATGCACGGTTTGATCTTGTCCACAATCGGTTCGATGCAGACCACCGCCTTCTCCAGTTGACCGCAAATGCTAACGTGGGGAAGTAGTTCGTATTCTTAGGTTAACAATTTCAAATCAATTCACGCTTGGACTCACTCTCCCAGGAGTTTGGCTAGCTCGGCTTTGCTCAAATCATCCAACGAAATATGCATGTAGGTCATATTTACATGCTGCATGAAACATTGGGGAGTATCGCTTTGCATGAACGAGACCAGCTCCATGAATGCCTCGTCGTCTCCGGTAGTGTTCCGGCACTCCTCTATCACATGCTTCATAAATAAAGCCGATTTCAGCGTAGCCGGTTCCATGTGCAGCTCAGCCCGTGCATTGCCTGTTGAAAGATTTCCTTGGGTGACCAATGATCATCATGAACCTCTCAAACCAGTACCTGACACCAGAAGCAACCCGAGAACGCCTAGAACAACCAACTGAACCGATGCCATTCTGCTCCCGAACGATCCGGACTTTCACAACTCTCGGTCTGAACTGCGCGCTTCAAGTTCCAGTTTCAACCTGTATACTAACAGCTGGTGAATTCGCTCCAATTGGATTTATATTGTTTGAAAATTACCGATGGCAATTGCTACAAAAAGTGAGAATGCGTGGAGTGTTTGTGTCGGCGATCTAGATCCGCAGACGACGGAAGCTGGTAGTGAGTCGGTCGCTGTGATCAACCAACAATGGCCATGCCCATTGTCGCGCTAAATTGACAAATTGCGAGCAGGCCTCTTTTTTATACTATGAATAAAGTGGCGGAATTGAGCGCCAATTGGACGGAGCGCGGGGTCATTGACGGGGGCCTCCCTTAGCTCAGTCGGTAAAGGCGCAGCTACAAAGCAAGACCATGCTGGAGGTGGCTGGGTTCAATTCCCGGTCCGGTCTAGGAATTTTTCGGGTTGGAAAATTTCTCAACTTCCCTGGGCATAGAAGTATGATTGGACTTGCCACACAATTATACCAATGCAAAAATGGTACAGGCATCGAAAGCTCCCAATTAATAACTGTGGAAGTGCATCTAGAACACTAAGTTGAGAGCACGCAATAAGCTAATATGCGATATGCAATAAGCTTGAAATGCGGAGAAGAAGAAGAAGGGGTCATTGACGTGGAGCCGTCGTCGGTTGAACATGTGGAACATAGTTCACTTATCGATGAGTTCCGAGGAGTAGATGCGAGTCTAGATTTGAAATGTTTTGATTCCGGTTGGGTTGAAGTAAGTCACTCGGATTGTAATGACTTAATCATTTGACTGTTCTGCTGAAATAACACGGAAATCAGACGAGAGTGGGAGCCCGCTTTGGCCTTCGCATTGCTAAGTATAGATTCTGAACATGGCTGCGAAAAAGGGCGCACACGTTTTTTTGATTTTTAGTTTAGTCATTTCCGGTAAAAGTCGTAGTGCCACAGTGATGGGAAACAATTACAAGAGTCTGTAATCGTTTTTTTTTTCAGTAGTGCTTGCAGTTTTGCCAGAGGAGGAAATGCATTTCGGAAATCCAACCAAGTGGACGTCCAAAATGCTTCAGTGTTTTACAAGTGGGTCATCAATCAAGTCTTACGAAAGGTAAGTTAATGATACACAATCAATGCCCTGATTGGTTGACAAACATCATTAAGTGGAATCGCTTTCAATGATAGCACGTGTCAACAGTTGCAAGAGGTGGATAGTTGCTGCCGGAGGAAAGAGCAGCATTTCAACTATAATAAAACGGGTGATCATCTGGAAGTGAGGAGCATTTTGGTGGATGCCATTTCAGTAGCCCGGAACAAGTTTTGCAACCGTGATGAGGCAGTTTCTGTGACAGGTAGGTGAATTATTTATAGGCATTATCCGCTCTCTCATTCTCTTAAGCATAAGCTTTGAGAGGGAGCACCTGAATAGTCACTGAACAAAAAGGGTCACTGGAGAGTGTCACTGCGGTGAGGATTTCAAATATTGCTTCAATGTTAACATATTTAGGGTAATTCTGCGTGGCACGAGATGTGAGGTGAACAGTGAAGTGACAAAATAACAGCAACAATTTTGGTGTTATCACACTCTTGTAGGTCATTATACCGGCTTCGAAAGCTCTCAATTAATAACTGTGAAAGTGCATCTAGAACACTAAGCTGAGAGCACGCAATATGCTAATGCATGATAAGCAAAAAGCTTAAAATGCGAATAACAAGAAGAAGTCGTCTTATGGGTACATCAAAAATCCAAAATTGCGACCGTCACAAATAGGTGTAAGGTTTTGATCGCTTATAACGGTGTCATTCATATATGAAATTAAAATTGAAGTACACCAATCGATAGAAAATAACTCTACACATCTGCTAAAATAAAATTCTTCTCAATTTTCTATTATTTTATTATATTTTTGAAAAAATTAAAACAACCCCCAGGTCTTTTATTACACGGGGGATATGTACCGTGTAAAAAAAACCTGCCGAGATTTTAATTTTTCACATGTTTAAATGTTTTTAAAAAATCGGATTTTGATACCATTTGTAATTATAGCATGCTATGGTCCATATACACATATTTTAAAAAATTCTGTGTTTACACCCAAAAATTGTGATTTTTTTTAAATTATGCCATTTGATTACCTATAGCTTGAAACGGATAATGTGATTGGAATCAAATCGATAGGTTGTATCGTTGTCGAGAAATCGTTAAAAACGTACCGTGTAAATCGCGAAAAACCGTGTAAAAAAGACTTCAGTGTAAAAGTGTTAATTTTGTCGCTGTTTTCATGAAATAAATGTTTTCTCTAGCCCAGACGTCATAATCGAGTACCACTTGGTTACGATTAGCTCATTTTCGCATCGGACTATGATGCTTTTCATCAAAATATTTAACAGGTTAAGAACCTGTATAATATTTTTTGCTCTGATTTTGACATTAAATAACTGAATCACCCTAAATTTCAAATATTGGTGTACTAAGCATATACTTATTGGGAAGCCAAACTTTGATTTGAGAAAAGTCACTTCTACTTCTACTAAAATCAACATCAAGAAAAACGCACGAAAAGTTCGCTAAGTAGCTTAATGTGAGCGGGACGTTTCGCCGAATGGGTCATTTCGCCGAAGAGCAAGCCATTTTCTACGGTTTTGAACTTTTCTCAAAGCACAGTAAACTTTGAAATCAGTATCGAAAAAAGATTAAGAAGGTTCGATTTTTCCAACCTGGCAAGCTATCCAAATGTAATGTAATGTAAATGTAGTTTTCAGTTGTACTGATTTCAGAAATGTTTAAATAATCAATATTTTTGATTTATGGATTGCTTCCTTCTTTTAAACTAGTTTTTTCGAGTTGTACTGATTTCATTATTTTCTAAATAATCTACATTTTTTATTTATAAGAATGATTCCTTCTTTTAAACATCACTAGTTCTATCGAAATGACCCATTGGGCGAAATGTCCTTTGGCGAAATGTTCTTTGGCGAAACGGCCTTCGGTGAAACGTCTTTTGACGAATTGACACAGCTCCAGCTTAACATAGTCTTCGTCAACAATGCGGTCGTGTCTTGTACAAAACTCCACCATTTTTTGATGTAGGACTACGTCTGTGATTTCTATATGGGGGTACACTTTGTGAAAACCGAAAATGGAACATGTAACAAAATTATGAAAGATTTTGAACGTTAATAACTCAGTTGCCCCTGGACCAATTTCAATAATTTTATCATCGATCTATCAGAAATATTCCTACGCATCTGTTGAATTTAAGACTTTATCATTTTTCAAAAGGTCACTATTGAAAATTACACGAATGAGCAACTGTTGCTATGATGGTTAAAATTATCACCGATTGTCTGCGAAAAACGATTTCCCTAACACAGATTTCAAAGTTGAATTCCATCCAAACTGTGTTTATTCAATCACCGCGTGGTTAGTGGTGGTGTTCTCCAGTACACAACGAAAGGCTGCCTGCAAGCAGCGAGCTGCAGCCCACATGAGCATTCATAGTAGGAGGAAGAGCCGCACCGCTATTGATCGGAATCAGTAGCTCTTCGTGAGTCACTGTGGACCATCTATGTCATGCGCGTCATACTAAAGAGTATGAACGCTCAAATTCTTATTCCTACACAAAACACAAGCTCCTGTTGCAGTTAACAAATAAGATTTATTATATAAGACCACGTAGTCCTACGTCACCATTGCGTACAACCCCATAGGGCTGTCCCTTGTAGTTTTTTTTTAATAAAGGGCATGATAACTGATCAGTGTTCAATTTTGAATACTATAGTAGAGCTTATACACATTTATGTTTTGTGGGGTGATATTAAACATATATTGGGTATAGTTTGAAGAACTTTGTTTCGACGGACTGCATCAGATTGAAATCTTTTTTTTTCGACAGTGTTCACACCTCCGCCTTGGCAATGCAATGCAGAATTGACTACCATATTTGAGCAATGTTTGAACCATTTTGCAGTTCCGTTAAAAGTACCCTTAGAGGAATTCAGCTTCGTCGAATGCCAGTAAGTATAATGCAATTAACTTCTAAAATTACAATTAACCTCTTCTAATTGTATTGCCAGCTCCATCTACTCCATGAAAGACTGCACAATTCAACAGATCCTTAACTGTAGATCCGCACTGCTGCTTGACGTCTTCAGCGGATTCCTCCGAAAGCTTACATCGAGAACGCTCTGCGATCAGCAGGAAAATGTCAACGATATGTAATTTATGTGAATCTAGCAAACACCTGCTCGTTCAAATCCCCTTTGAACCACCCCGAATCAAACAGATAACCGTAAATAACCGGCTGACAGAATGCGTCCAAAGCATCGCCCCAATTCGATTGAATTATATAATTAACACCCTAGCTTTCCGACCCGCTACTCTCGCAATTTGAGAATGGCCAACTGCAAGTCACCCTGACTCTCTCGTAGCGCAAGCGATAATCTGCTTCGAATGAAATTTTACACCGACGGTATTTAGCAAGCCACTAAGCCCACCCTCGGGGCATTGTAACGTGGAATTATGACCCGCAAATTACTCACAGGGACCTCGTTTGACGTCGGCGGACAGTTGTCGCTTTGGCACATTTGGTCGCACATCTACGCAACCACCTATCTGATGACGGTCGCTTTTTGCAAGCCATTGAGAAACGGTACCAGAATCGAAAATAAAAATAAACAATAAATAAAGTAAGTTGTTGTGCGTGCGTGGTGAGCCCCTCCTCCCGATCACGCTCTAGATTGGCCGAAGGAATCGTGTAACCTCGTCAAACGTAACGGAAATCAATAATCGCCTTCTTCTATAAAAAAAAAGTAGGTACGCACATAGAGTAGTGAACCGGTCCAAAACCAGACCATAGCGGACATTAATTTTCAATGAGAACCTGTTCAATTTACAACAAATAACGAAAAAAAACAGAAACAAGTAAAATCCTGCAATTCACAAACAGTGTTGGTAACTTTTCATGAAGTACGATCCGTAGATAGGTAAATTTAATTCTACTGCATTAAATACGTTAAATATTGCTGAATTCAATGCCAAAACAAGAAAACAATTTTTAAAAGGGGAGCAAAAATGTCTTCTACGTTTTTCAAAAAAAACCTAAAATCCGAAAAATTCGTAGGATTGAAAACACTGTTCATAAAATGCTGATTGCACGTATACAGGTGGGACCCCAATCATCCGATCGCTTGTTAAAATGTATTGTTTTTTTTCACACAAGGAAAAAGGAAGGTTGCCAAAAAGTTGTAAGCAAGGTTGGTGTTTCATTTGAAATCGATCTACAATGCGTTACCCAAAGAGTACAGTAATGATTCCGGATTACACAGTTCAACCTGTACCTTCAACCACACTACCGGAGGGCAAACGAAGGAAGGCGAATTAATAAAAATCAAGCAAAATAGCATCAATTACGCACACTGCGGTGGAGGTTGCCTGGAAGGAACACACTCATTTCAACTTCCAAAAACAGCCCGATCAACTTCAGCTCAGCAGCTACCAGCAAAGCTTGCGGAACGCACAAACTCGGTGGAGTGCGCTCTCGAGCGCGCGCGCGCGTAATCGATGTCAAGGTACACAACACTACTTTTCAAAAAATAAATAAAGCAAAAAAAGAGAGCCAACTTTTGTGTGTACGAGAAGCTCGCAGTCGCAGCCCAGCAACTGCAGTGTGTTCCTTTTTTTCCTTCACGATTCCTTTGCGCGAAAACCTGCCAGGCTGTGGTGGTCGTTGCTGACTGCACCACCACAGCACACGACTAGACTACCTAATAGTAGGATTGTAGAAGAGATCACGAGAGTTCATACACTCCTGCCCGTGCCCTCAGCGCTCAGTCAGCAGAGTTGAGAAGCTGATAATTGAGGCACAAAATAAAGCACTAAAAATATGCGTGCCCAGATAGCAGACCTATTGCAGAAGGGGTAGGTAGGCAGCTGAGTTCAGCTGATGGTTGTTGAAGTTATGATCTTGTGTAGCTGCGGACTCTACACGTACTGGTTCTCGTCTTGTTGGTTGGTCGATATCTGATTCGATGATCTTTGCACTGTGGAATCCTGAGAGCTCGAAGTTGCGTTGTCGATGTGGACATGTTCGAGCGGCGCGCAGTCACGCAACTAATCAGTGGAACTTTCCGGGCTTGGCTGGCAGGAGATTTGGAATTTACATTTTGGGTTTGGTTTATGGAAGGTTTTTTTTTTAAGAGCTTGCTAAGCATTGTTTTTCAGGGTGCATCTGTCGGTTTTAAATTTGTCATTTGTAAAAATGTTATGCAAAACTATTTTTTTGTCATAATTTAATTTCTAAATTTGTGCTTATTTATTCACTTTCTACTAGTCACTAAATTTACTTTAATTTATTAGTTTTTGATTTTCTTATTTATTATATTTTGAAAGATTTTGATTATTTGCACTTCACGATGCCTGTTGCTCGGTTTCTAATTCTAGACTTAAGATTTTCTCTTCTGTTTGCTTCATTCTAGATCCTAGTTTATGGTTGATTGATTATTGATTATGCATGCTTTATGCTTGATGCTCTAGATTGCCTTGAATTTATCGATCCTTTTAATTCTACTGAATCTTTTTATTCTCTAGATTCTCTTAATTTTCATATTCACTAGATATCCTAGTTTAGTGGTTTCCAACGATTTTCAAAAATTGCCCACCACCGTTCCTCCTAATAAAAGAGATAGATAGTTGAATATAAGATTAACTAATACGCGTTACAATATATAATTATTAGGGTGAGTCAACTTTACAACACCTTGCTCTTTCGATGTATATTGAGGTCCTCAACATCTATGCCAAATTTGAACGAATGTACGGGAGTGTTCTAAAGGTTGGATGAGAAAATGTATGGGAAATGGAACAAAGTCATTGGAATAAAGTTCAATTTTAACTAAACCATGGACTTGAATTGGGAATACTAAGCAGAATTTTTTTTTGAATACCGCAAATCGATCCAACTTATTTTTTAAAAAATATTGTTTTTCTTTACACCAAGTGCTCCACACAAAGAGCTAGCATAGCTCTAAAGGGCGAACACGAAATTATTGCGACACATTCAACAGGGCATAACTTTTTTACCATTGGGTAAAAATCAACCAAATTTTGCACACTTTCTCATTGATGTGTATTGTGTACATGCTGTCAAACTCGAAGTCGTGTTTTTCGATTCAACGAAAATGGAGGTGAACCAACGCGAGTTGGGAGAACAAATTCTTTCCAAACACCTGGAATTTCCTGACCTGTCGCACCGGCAGTTGGGAAAAATGTTGAACATTCACCATTCAACCGTCTCCAGAGTGTTGAAGCGGTTCCAGGAGCGGTTGACGTTGAACCACGGCAAAGGAGCTGGAAGAAAACCGGGACCGGAGAACAAAAAGACGGAGGGAAAGGTGAAGCGGATGATTAAAGCAAATCCCAACGTCTCAAGCCGTGATTTGGCTAAAAAGATCGGCATGTCGCAGAGCTACGTCTAGAATGCAAAGAAGAGACCTGGACTACATACATACAAGGTACAGAACTTCCCAAACCGCGATGAGCGGCAACAATCGACGACTAAAACTCGGGCACGGAAGCTCTACGAGAAGATGCTGACAAAATATGGCTGCTGTGTGATGGACGACGAAACGTATATAAAAGCCGATTTTAAGCAAATTCCGGGGTTGGAGTTTTTCACCGGCAAGAGCAAGTTCGATGTGGACGACAAATTTAAGAAGAAGAAGATGTCGAAGTTCGCCTCCAAATATCTCATTTGGCAGGCCATCTGCTCTTGCGGACTGAGGAGTGAGCCTTTCATGACAAATGGCACAGTAAATGGCGAGATCTACAAATCTGAGTGCCTCGCGAAGCGCCTTTTGCCGTTCTTGCAGCAGCACGACGAAGCTCCGCTATTTTGGCCAGATTTTGCATCATGCCACTATTCTAAAAGTGTCCTGGAGTGGTATGAGGCCAATTCTGTCCATTTTGTTACAAAGGAAATTAATTCGCCAAACTGTCCGGAGCTGCGCCCGGTGGAGCAGTACTGAATTGAGTACCAAATTGATTTACCTTTCCGTACGTACCGTAAGATTTGATAAAGAGAAACCAATCGTTGAGATATTGTTAAAAGTCTAACACTGCTTCTTGACGCCAAACTCGGCCTACGGATTCTAAATTCGGCCTAACGCATTGAACGCCATTGAAACGCCAATGAATTCACTTCGGTCTATCGGATGAAGATAAAAATTGATTCGGTCGGAGCGCTTCTTTTGTTTTTGGGAATGATGGGTGCAAATTTTCATATCACGTGTTCTCATTGACTTCGTTCGGTAGCTTATTAACTAGAGTATCGTACCAAACGCATAATTGACTTGTTAACTCTGAAATCATGGATTTGTTTGAAGTTTTCTGCTCGATATCCCCAAAATGGGCGATTAGGCCGAAGTAGTTCTCTACCCTACTTGACCTAAAATTAAAACTTAATAACTATTTGCACAGAAGTTGAACCAATTTGCTATCTTCGACAAAATTCTTCTTCGTACCAATCGTTACCTAAGTACAAGATTTGGCCAGCTACTTTTGAATTTTTGACAAACAAATGAATATTTTCATTCCGTTTCCCAAAATTAAAATTTTTAACGTAAATCCAGACCCGTTCAAATATCACACCGTTGTTGGGGATCTCAATATAAATCGAAAAAGTGGTGCAGAACAGGGGTTGTAATATGCCATATAACTTGACCCACCCTTATTTTTATATAAACTTTTGTTAAAATACTATAGAACTCAAGAAACATTTAAAGTTTTATTGAGTGTTTAAAGAATTTCCCAAGTTCTAATCATGGGCTATAAGCCAAACTGTTACTTGGGAGTCCAGTTAATTGAAAAAAAGTTTACTAATTTCAATGATTTATGAACTTACGCTATGTAAAAAAAATAAGGTGTTACGGTCTGAAAGCCTTTGCTCTGTTACCACCTCGAATTTTCTGAAGTACAAACATCAGCTAACAGAAAACAAGAAAATTTACTCTTCAGAACATGTGAAGTGACAGTGAAAGTCAGCCATCCTGCCGGCGAATTCTCTCGATTTTGTGGATGGTATAAATGCTCTTGAATCTCTTAATTCTATTATTGTATCATTGATTCTATTGGATCTTTTGACATCCTTGAATCAGTAGATTTCATTGATTTTATTTTGATTTTCTAGATTCTCTTCATCCTCTTAATTTTCTAAATTCTCTAGATTTTGTGAATGCTTTAAATCCTCTTGAATCTCTTAATTCTATTGATTATATGGATTCTATTGGATCTTTTGACTTCCTTGAATCAGTAGATTTCATTGATTCTTTTGAATCGCGACATCTTTTTTGATTTTATAAATTCTCTTTATTCTCTACGTTCTTCTGATTTTCTGGAATCTCTTGCATCTCTGGATTTATTATATAGTTGATGCTATCCAACAACCAAAGCATCCAGAGGTATTAGTAGGCGTATCTACCTTAAGTTTCTTTTAGAAGCATTTATGACTAGGGTAGGTGTACCAGTTCTGGCTATATTTCCCTATTTTGGTGTGTTTCAATTATACCATATGGAAATTCCATTAGCCATAATAGTAACGTATAGCCATAGCTGGTCCATATACCCTAGAATATTTTTTTTCGCACGCCCGACGCTACGCTCCTCTCATAAAATAAAAACACAGGAGGGGTAATAAACCTGAGTAGCTACACAATAATCTTGGTGGATGATATGGTTGCTTGATAGGTTCTTCAGATTTTCGAAATTCTCCTTTTTTCCCTTGATTTGTTTTCCGTCGATCTTGTTTTCCGAGTGTTCACTCGGCTGTCGATTTTCGATGTGTGCCACGCAATCGTCTGTTTTCTCGGCAGCAACCATTGGGTGGTCCTCCTCATTGTTCTTCATCAGCAGTTCTTTCGGTCGATGCGTCGGCGACTTTGGAAAGCAACCGTTTAGTGATGAGTGTGTGAGTGATGACCACGTTTTGCGTCCATTGCTGCAATGAAAGTGCTCTGACCCCCGTTGGCGTAACTGCCATACAATGAAACCACTGGAAGCGGCTCCAGTTCTGATGGAGGAAGTTTTTTTGGATAGCGGAAGATAAAGTGTTTACTGTGTTGTAC